CCAGATGGACTTGGGCTTCTTTTCATTTGAGGGTTTCGTTCAGTTGCAGTGAGAAAGGAGCGAATGCACAAGAAGGGGTTTCACAAGTGATGATGCACCACTAAGTAATAAAACGTCATTCTTAGAAAAATGAAATGTAGGGAACTCACACATTGAGAAAGGAGCGAATGCACAAGAAGGGTTTTCACAAGTGATGATGCATCACTAAGTAATAAAACATCATTCTTAGCAAAATGAAATGTAGGGAACTCACACACTCATAATAGCTGGATCACTTGTACTTGTGAAGACTTATGATGTCAAATTATCAATCTTAGTCTTTGCCTAAACCTAATTCTAGCCTTAAATCTGAACCCAAGTCCTAACATTAAACCAGTCCAGTAACCAACTGGGACCAAAAAAGGGCCTACAGATTATACACAGCTTTCTATTCTTGTAAAGACACATCTGTAGGATGTTATAACACTTTTTAACCAAAATATTGATGTTAATATTCTTTAATCCACTGCTTCTGTAACCGGTCGCCTTTGGGTCTCTAATCTGATAACATTTTACATATAACATCCCAGTTACATTTTGTGCAATTATTATACCCCGGTTACACTTCCCTGCGCACAAAAAATGACCCATCTTGTCCACAGCGTGGGGACAGAGTGCAGCTGTGGCTTTCTCTGCCACCCTGATGCCTTCACATACTACTCGGAAAATCTACCAAAGAAATTTAAAAGTCCAGATGCGATTGTTTTTACTATTACCTGTCCTCTTAGTTAGAAAATGGAATCTAATATGGATTCAAAGTTAGCCTATATCTTTAACTGATGTTGCACTTGCATATATTATTTTAAAGGGCTTATGTAATTAGAAATGTTTTATCTCGTTTATGCTAGTTGTTTATCTGAACTACAAACTGTGACAAGAAATCGCAACCGTGTATTGTTTTCACCTAAATCTGCTTGAGAAAATCTGAAAATGTACACTCCCCTAATGTGATATAACCTCTTCTTTCATATATATAATTCTCCTCGTCATATTGAGGAAACAATTTGCTCATACACTGGTAATCATGTAGGACACTACTTGTCCTCATTCATGCTGGATGCTCTGTGCTGATTCCGACACTTCCAGCAGCGCGTGAAGGCAACACATGACTGAGCATTAGCTGAGAAGGGAGGGAAGGAGGGATTGGGACCTAGAGAGGCTAAACAGGTGGTCTGAAAACACAGAAAACAATGTCCGGCGGGGAGGAGCACAGAGATTTTTAGCCCTCGCTTCTGCGAAGGAATACCGGGACAGTTACGGAGCCGAACAAACAAGAACCCATGCTCCTTTTTTATTTCCACGCGGATTTCTCCTCATCCTTCCTTTCTCGGTTTTACTCCGAATCTTGGCGAGATATCGGATACTAAACCATGAAAGTCACGGTGTGTTTTGGCAGGACCCGAGTGGTGGTGCCATGCGGGGATGGAAATATTAAAGTCCATACACTCATCCAGCAGGCTGTCATGAGATACAAGAAGGCTATCGCCAAGGTGAGTGGCGGCTACTTTGTTTCCTAGTGGCTTTGTTTTCCTGGAAACAACGTTGCGACGTCCGAGGGCTCGGCGGGCGCATTCTGTATGACGCAAACTTGAAACAAATGCAAAGAAGATGGCAAGAGGCGCCATCTGTGCTCGTTTTGCACAGTTTGTTCACCGTAGAAGCACACACAGCTGCGCGTCCGTGTAGTTCGCCGTTTGTTTGCCAATTTGAGCGAAAGGCGCACCGCCATTGTGGTTCTTGTGTTTGTGTATCCTCAAAACTTCCTTAGGGATTCTGTGGCACTGAACAAAGCAGTCCGTGGTTTGCTTGAATTTGGAGAGACAAAATAGGGTTTTGTGGCGCATTTGTGCACAACAACACGCACGAATCCGTATTAACCCAGTTGTAGGAGCTCAGTTCATGCTTTTGCAAGTTGCCAGCAGAGATTAGCCTACTAGCAAGTTAGCCAGCAGGCTGCAAAAGTAGGACTGTAGTCTGTGGCGTTCAGACTTCAGTGCAGAGCAATGCAATCAGCAACGTCCTATCTGCTTAGAATGCAGTCTATTTAATGTTTGCGTTAGGAAAAACACCAAAATGTCCCCTTTGTTACACTTTTAATGAGCTCATGGTGGCCTGGAGGGTCCAAGTAAAGACACAGGATGGAAGTTCAGCTTAACGGGGATGCTTTGCAACAAGAGGGGAAAAAACAAGAACAGTCCTTTTTGATATGTTGTATTGGACTAAATGCAGAATTGTAAAAGCAGCAGCCTTTAGCTAGCACCAGGCAGCACAGGGAGGGAAACTGCAGTGGCCAGCTCAGGCAGACTGGTGGGGGCCATGGCCCTGACACATAAATCTTGGAGATAAAAGTGAGCCTAAGAAAACTTGTGGCATGATGTTGAGGTAGCAGCAGATAAGGTTGAACCATAGCTTGGTGTTATATCTGCAGGGGTCTCTGGTTAGATCAGATAGGACGAGACTGGGCACAGGGGCATTGGATCTGTGTTCCCTTATCAGAGAGAGAGAGGCCTTCAGTTTACACTGTTTTACATCCAACATGTGTTACATCTGTAGCTTTACAACTTTATTTATATACAATTTATTATACACAGATTTATTGTTAATTTTGTTTGGATTTACTCTGATGCACAGATTTGTTTTAGGCAAACTCTAAAATCTGTTGTTATATACCAGTACCCGATGATAAATCTAAAAAAAAAAACCCACACTTGGTCATGACATTTATCTTTTAGTTTATTTGTGTGGATTTATTTTGACTAGTTAAAGATTTGGACTGAACTTGGGGGCAGTTTGATTGGTTGGACATCTGGTCAGATCTCATTGGTTGTTGTAGCTGTTCTCAGTTTAATTGGGATTCACACTAATTGTGTAATAACCTGTGGCGGTCAGTAGCGGGTTCACAGTATTATCATTTGTTAAACATGATCTACGGACCAGCTCTAGTTTAGCCAGGGTATAGCTATGCTAAAGCGGCTCCTTAAGGTTCATGAAGGATCTGCACTTTGCCTTTCCCTGTGCCAACTTTCCGGCAGTCTCTTTTTGCTATAGTGACCCATAAGTCACAGTGTCTCCTCCTTTCCTTGTTAATAATTCAGTGTGAGCAGACAGAGGAGTGCAGGTATAAAGAGCTGATGACGGCAAACCTCCACCACGCCAAACTACTCGCCATCTTTCTTGTGGAGAGAAGATGTTAACTCTTCTTTCACTTGCACTAAGTTGGTAGTTTATTCTAGTCTCGAAAGGAAGAAAAATAAAACGGTTTTCACTTTCAGAAAAAGATTGTCGGGTAATATAATACTCACTGTAATAGTTTTCATCATTTGGAACAGGCTTACTGTTACTTTGGTTTTCCTCTTAATGACACGGGATAGTGCATGAGATTAACTCCCCAATAAAACTCTACATTTATAGTGAAACAGACTGAAAAGCAGTCTGACAGAGATAATCAAGGTGATCACTGCTGTAATCGTAGAAATATGAAGAGTCGTATATTATGTCTGCCGACCTCACTGCGACCGGAGTGAATTCACTTTGGATGTGAAGCTTCAAACATGTTTCAGCTCACAAAGACATGCCAGAAAAAATAATTACATATCACATTTATAGAAAATGATATGATGATTTGATACTCATTTCAGCTGAAGAAGTGACCCAGGCTTAAAAACCTAGCTGCTCGTTTTCTTTCCATAGATCATGGGGTAGGTTCTCAGTAACATTGACCCATTTGAGTAAGTGTGGAAACAGTTTAAGATGACACCCTTGACTGGAAATCTCTCTGGTGGCTTAATGCTCCAAACCCTCAAGTGACATAAATGTTGGTGTGTCAGGAGATTTTTCTTCTTCTTCTCCTCCTTTTTTTTAAAAATCTGTTTCTAATGCTCAGAAACCTCCAGGGGGATATCAGGTGTCTGGGCTGTGTCAACACCAGCACACTGCAGATTTCCATTCATAGTTTGACACTACAGGAGTTTCCTCTGGAGGAGTCTGGGCCATTGTGTGAGCATCCAGGCAACAGATTTAACATGACTTTGACCCACTGCAAACAATAGGAGCAGGTGTCTGCTGTTGGTCTGGAGAAGGTGATGGGTTTCTTAGGAAATGTGGCTGAAAATAGTGTGTGTGTGGGTATTCAGGGACTTATCATGTTTGCACTCTGGTACAGTGAACGTTGCTGTAACATTATGCTTTGAGACCTGGCAGTAGGTGGGTTAAGTGTTAGCGAGCTGCTAGCTGCCTGGAGAGCTCCCCATGTCCACCGCGGATCCCAAACAGGGTCATTATAATCATCTAATCATCAATAAAACAAATATATTTAGCCCATATCTGTTAATTCTAACCTAAAGCATCTTTTCATTTTGATAGAGTAAAAACACCAAAGATAACCAGGCTCAATGTGTATTTCAGAAAATCATCAAATCTGAGCAGGGCTTTAGTTTGTTTTTAGTCACGTTCTGATGCCATGTCTGTGCGCTGTACTGTGCTCAACATATTACACAATTCATTAGACAAATGAAATACCTGAATGTCATGGTGTAATGTGTTCAGTTTTCCCACTGGGTTGTCTGCCCCTGAACCTGAGTTTGCCCACGTCCAACCTCACTGGTCTGATATAAGCGATGCTGTTTTTGTGGTTCTCATCTGTCGTACATCCATGTTTTATTTATTGTCATTAAGGTGCTGCTTTTAAACACAGTTTCCAGGAAACACACATCGGTGCCCATTTTGCATGGAAAACAGGGAACCGTGCAACAAAGTAGTAAAAAAAAAAACAGCTGCACCTGTGTCCGGGTCTGTAGGTTGTCATTTGCTTATACACCAGTAAAGCTTGTTTAGTCTGTTTTGTTACTGTCAGTGTAAGAATGACACTAGTGATATTAACAGGAGATTTCCAAAGGACTTACCTGGTTCCACATGGTTGCTCTGTTATGTCATATAATCCTGGTTGTATTATTCCGTGCATGGGGCGTGTTCATACCAATCACTTTATCCCCAGTGCTGGACTGTTTGTAGCTGCTTTAGAGCTATTTTTTTTTTTGCAAGTTTAGGTGTGAACAAATGATCTCGCTGTGATGCATTAGTGGTGATCATGTGCAACTAATGGAAAAAGCAATCTACAGTAAAACACAGGGATGTTCTGTGATATAGAGACTGTACATCCCTTTGCTGAGTTGGCACTGAAAAATTAATCAAGACCAAATAAAACAGTTGGATATTGCTTACTGTAATTTGAGCCATAAAATGTTCACCAGCGTAGATGTACTAGATGTACCTCTTGTCAGGTCTTAAGCCCAAAAAAATTTCACAGTTCATCTGATTGATCCAGCGGTGGTTTGAGCCCGGGCCGACCTGGTACCTTTCCTTGCGGAGTTTGCATGTTCTCCCTGTACCTGTGTGGGTTCTCTCTGGGTACATGCAGTTTACATTGATGGGTGTGTGGGGTTGTTTGTCTCTGTCAGCCCTATGACAGACTGGTGACATGTCCAGGGTGGACCCCGCCTCTTGCCCGGTGTCAGCTGGAATTGGCTCCAGGCCCCCTGTGACCCTCCTCAGGAATAAGTGGTATAGATAATGGATGGATGGATCTGATTGATCCTCACAGCACAGGATTAAAAGCTTCACTGATGATCCCTGGGTCGCTGACTTTGCCCTTGACCAAACTACTGTGAAACATATCCTAAAACATGACCTGTCAGAGCATTTCATTTCCCAAAGGAGTCAGTGAAAGACACACCAGCATGAAGTGAAGAGAATTAGCCATTATAAAAACATTATAACAGAGCAGCTGTTTTTGCCTGTTAATGCAGAAAGAAAGAAAGAAAGAGAAGTAAAGTAAGAGGCTGTAAAATGCTGAGTGCAGAGTTCTCACTTGGTGGGAAGGCTGATGCTTTACCTTTTGGAGCCATTTACATTTTAGAGGTTGAGCTAGCGCTGTATTTTCAGTAAGCACTGATTATGATGAAATCTCTTAAATTGTAAGAAACAGAAGAAATCTGTCCTGTGGAGTACAAGGTCCCTGGCAGTAATCCTGTAATCTGTGTTATTGGACACCTTCTTATATTTATTGACTATAAAATGGTCTTTCGTGGGGCATTCTTAAGATCTAGTATCCTTTTATAAATGTTTTAACACAAGAACATGTTGAGCAGGTTTGGGATAACACAAATGTTTCACATGGCAGTGCCGTAGACCTGAGACTTGGGCTTAAGCCACAGGGACCTGACACTTTATAAGGAATCAGTCTGTTTCAAACATTGTGCTTTTGGCATCACTGTTACTGTGGTGAGAACCAAGCAAGTCACAAGTAAAATTCTCATAATGTGACAATGTTATGGGAATAGCATGTATTTAAGTAAAACACTCACAAACCTTTTGTTATTAATTGTGGGTTTGTCGGCTATAAACTAGCCTATAGCTATTAAATTAAAAGGCATGTCCTTCAAGGTGATCTGAGATTCTTCTCAATAAAATACCAAGTGTAATAACTTAACAT